AACTGCATATGTACATACATACATATACACATGCATAGTATGTCGTATGTGTTCTGAGGTAGTATAAGAGAGTGGCAGAGGGAGAGAGAGAGAGAGAGAGAGAGAGTCAGTCAAGCTCGACGAAGGGAGGTAAATCCTGTTTGTGCAGCAGTACTATGCTGAACAATGTGACAGACTCTTTCCATTCAGAGCATTTTCCTATCTCCGTCGCGCTGGTCGATGCCTTTGTTGAGTTGAAGCTGTACGCATGTGGAACCTCAGGCAATGGTCGTCGTCCGAGTTCTGCCTCACCGGTGACATCGGGGAGGGACGGGGGTCCTTTCCGACTTGAGATGCTTTATGGTGGGAGTTTTCCGGGTTCGCGTTATACTATAATTATAATTAAGGAACCCCCGACACCCTATTCTAATGATTAAGGCCCCGACATTATGAGACATTCCGGCGGATTCTTCTTGAGACAGAGAGGCCACTTTTCGAACCTGAGGATGGCTCCGCGATAAATGCGGCATGCATGCATGTTGCCTGTGACAGCTTTGGCTTTGATTTTAATTTTGGTAGTGGTGACGATGCGGCTGGTGACGATGATGATGATGATGCTGAAGAGGGCCATTCTACAAGAAACAGAAGGCTACCGAGACGGCGCCATGGTGATGGGCGATGTGATGGTCATGATCAAGAAGTAGATGCTGCGTCATCCATTGTCGCACGTTGCAGGCAAGTCGGCAAGCATTGCTCGTAAAAGCAGTCTTGACAGGCTACCAGTAGGCCCGAGTTTCCAGTGAGTAGTTATACCTCTGAGAATCTCCTGAAGCCCCAGTATTGCCACCATCTTATCGCCACCATCTTGCTGCACAAGTCCCTAAGGCTTGTGTGTGGAGGCTGCGCACTTTTTGTGGCCAAGCCCCTCCCAAACTCTCCACTCTGAACACCTGAGCCCTTAGCCAAATCTGAGACGATGATCGAGAACCCCTGGCCCTAAACTTTTCCCTAAACGCCGAAGTGGTATTCTTCACGGCTTCGCAGGCGCTCCATCGATCGCAGCTCGTGCCTGAACTGCCAGCAGCCCCACCCTGATCGCCTCAAAAACTATTATTACTATTATCGCAATTATTATGATGAAAATCAATACTGTGATAAGAGATAGATAGATAGATAGATGCAGATAGAGCAGCCCACACTCAAGAGGGGTTCCTGGTTGGGGGCATAGACCTGCTTCTTGAGCTTGATCTTTAGACGAATAGGGGTCGAGACGATTCGTAGCATGTTCCAAGAAAGTCCCAAATTTATCTCTAGTATTCTCTAGTGTAATTTGCCCCAAAATCTGATTCCAATCATTTTACCCCCTAAATTGGTCTGTATCTTCACAAGAGGAGCTATGGCAAGCCTAGGGAGTTTTGAAACCCGTGAGACTTCTATCGATCCATGGTACATATCTCGACGGATCCGAGTGCACAGCCCAATTCAGCATGTTTGTTGTGAAAAATGCCTCAGGTTAAACAACCTAGATGGTGTTGGAAGGTGGAGAGGTGGCTTAAGGTGTCATAGTCATATAGTCAAGAATAGTATATGAGTAATTCATGTCAGCGGTTTGGGTTGTGGTGACTGGTTTGCCTTGTCGTGTTTGTTCGCAGCATGTGGCCTCCAATCCTGTGAGCTGGATCCTCAGCCCGTCTAAGAAGCGCTAAAAGCGTAGCAGCAACTTCTGAATCAAGTGATTCTGCACATAGACAAGAAGGACGAGGAGAATTACAGCCGCGACAGCAGCGATAACCAAATAATTAACAAGAGCAACAGTAGCGCAAGGGCAACAGCATCCGCAAGCTAGAAGGAGCAGCGAGGTGGGCTATTAACCACAAAGGAAGTGCTAAGACGGATGCTGCTACTAATACTAAGGTGCCGATGCAAGTGGAGCGGCTGGAAGGTGGCTTCAGGGTCGATGCAGCATTTGCTTGGAAGTTTCAGGTGGCTTTGAAGTAAGGCGGACGGTCGGGATGCTTCCTGGGTTTAGAGATTCTCATTTGGTTGATGAAACCCTTTGATGAGCAAGCCATTGGCGTGCCACGATGGAAACAGTTCAGTTTACACTAGCGACTTTTGGTGCTACACTGCTGTGCTTAGCGAACAGCAAAAGCTGTTTTTAAATTTTAACGGATCATCTCTGCGGCCCGCAGACTTTAAGCCCCTAAACCTCTAAACGCCCAAACACCTAAACCCTTAAGTTTAAACCGCAAGCCACAAACCCCTAACACCTAAACCCCTAAAGCCCTTAGAAACCTCTATCACTCCGAAGCCTCCAACACCCCAGCACGCTAAACCCCTGAACCCTCAGACTGGAGCGTGCGAATTCCTCCAGCACCTGGGCAGATCGAGTTCTCCATGCCAGGCCTGCTCGAAGGGGGTTCTTGGATGAGAGCTGCGGGGTCTCGGGATAAACAGGTTTGAGATTTTGGGGTGTCAGCTTCGGCCGGCTGAGGAGTGTGGGGTTGCGTAAATGCTCAATTCGCGGGGACTTGCTCTAATTTCAAGCGGCATGGTCCCCGCCACAGCAGAGACAGAAGCTGTGGTGCAAAGCCGGTCGGCTGTAGGACTTCATGTTGTCATCGCGCCGCGAGGCCCGCCGCAAGACCTTATCTGACGGAGTCCGAGTTGTGAGAGCGTGCACCGAAACTCCCAGTTCCCCGAAATACTAAGCCCCAAACTCAAACATCCCCAGACCCTTACATCCTCGACCCTAAACCCCCGACCCTGACTTGCAAACTAAACCCTGAACCCCCCATGTACAACTTTAACCCCACACCCCTAAAGCCTAAAACCCGATGCTGGTTTCTCGTTGAAGCCTTCTCGGTACCGATTCGGGATCATTCTTGATTTTCCTAACTCGTTCAATGTAGCACCCGATCCTAACGATTCTGTTGGGTGTTGTTGAATCGATACAAAGTATAGAGGCATGGAGCAGATGTCGGAGCGCCTCAAAGTGCTCACTGAGACTCAGACCAACTGCTACAAGGCCTGAGTATGCATGTGTGTTTCTATCTGTTTGCGTATGTATATATACATACATGCACACACCTACAAATACATACACATGCACATGCACATACACATACACGCACATACACACACACACACACACCTACCTGCCTGCCTGCCTGCCTGCCTGCCTGCCTACCTACCTACCTACATATATACATACATACGTACCTACCTACCTACCTGCCTACCTACCTACCTACCTACCTACCTACATATACAACATACGTACATACATATACATACATACGGACGTACATACATACATACATACATGCATGCATACATACATACATACATATATACGTACATACGTACCTACTAGTACCTAGCTAGCTAGCTAGCTAGTACCTACCTACTTGCCTGCCTACCTACCTACCTCCCTGCCTACCTACCTACCTACCTAACCAACCTACCTGCATGCTTGCATGCATGCATGTGCTTACATACATACATGCATGCATACATGCTTACATACATACACGTATAAGCAAGTTGTTCTTATAATAGAATACACATTTGTTTTTACATTATATATATATGTATAGAGACACACTCAACTAATATGGACATTAAGAAATGATAGTCATCATGATAATGGCAGTGATAGTAACAACAAGTATTTATGCGTGCATGCATGCATGCATGCATGCATACATGCATGAATGAATGTGTGTATGGATGCATGCATGTATGTATGTATGTATGAATGTACGTATGTATGTACATATGCATGTATGTAGGTATGTAGGTATGTATGCATGTTTGTATGTATGCATGCATGTATGGATGTATGTATGTATGTGTGCATGTGTGTATGATTTTGATTTTGTGTGTGTGTGTGTGTTTATGTGTGCGTGTATATATGTATGTATATGTGCACGTGTGACACGTGTGCATGTATGTGTTTGTATTTGTATTTACATATGACATATGTTTGCCATGCTTATTTAGTCACTTATATTACTGACGTGTGTGTGTATATGTATATATATATATAAAAAGACATACACACATACTTGCACGTATATACATATATAACACGAAGGAGGGTCCTTGGGACAGCCAGGTGTTCGAGGTTGAGGTAACACGTGCTACGTGTCCCGGCCAGAGGTTGGAGACGATTCCGTATGTCGAGCACATGCAAAGCTTACAGTGAGGTCATCAATACCCTACACCCGAAACCCCAAACTCCCAACTCGAAACTTTGACCTCAAAAGTAGGAGGGGGAAAACTTTGACCTGAACCAATAGCCCAAGACTCCAAGACCCGCGGCATAAGAGCAGTGCGGGTTCTGTTTCAGGCGATTGAAGGGGACCTCCTGGACCGCCGAAAGCTCTGCCCTCGGCTCTGACCGGTCAAGGAGTCTGAAAGTCAACCACGTCCTGACACAACATACTACAGAGTCCTTATGGGGCCTGAATATTTAGGGTGCACTGTAGGGTCAGGACGAACACGAGATTCACTAGATGCAGGGTATGTGATGCTGGGTGTAGAATTTTGGATCTGGGATTTCTTCAGGCGTCTGCACGGGTTGCGGCCCCTGGCTTGACAAGTGGGAGCTCGGGGTTCAATTCAAGATTAGCCGTCTTTGTCTTTTAAGGTGCGGGGCTTCGTGGCTCATTCAAGGCCTAGTGTCTTCGTAACTCAAGCCTCTCGCACATGTGCACGCATATGTGCCGGTGCCGGTACCATGCCAGAGCCAGACGGTCACGAACCCGGGAGACGGTGCAAAACATTCGACTTTCAGAAGCAGCTGTAATTAGTCCTGATCTGCAACCCAACACCGTGAAGACCCTGACAGTCCCACCTAAATTCCCAGACCCTCAACTCCAAACCCCAGGGGTCCAGCTACAGCCTGTCATCTGGGCCCGAAGTCCTGAAAAGGCTTAATGCCCGACAGCCCTTGAACCCTAAACCCCTAAACCCCCAAAAACCCTGAACCCTAAACCCTAAACCCTAGCCCAGCCATGCTAAAGAAGCTTGCGCGCGGCGCCCCGAAGCTGGGGCCTTTGCTGCGGCTGGGCCTCCGAAACCTGGCCTCCGCAGAGGCGGCAATGCAAAGATTCACAGGGTTTAGGATTGCTTGCCCTCGTGTGGTCTATTCTATGCGCATGCATGCATATACAATATAAATATAAATATAAATATAAATATAAATATAAATAAATAAATGAATAAAAAAAATATATATACATGGATATATGTGCATATATGGTTTAAGGTTCGGGGCCGTACATGACAGAACCCGGTTGCCGCGAGGCACCGGAGGTCTTAGAGGCGACGGAAACTCCATCTCGGCCGTCTTCTGCGCCTCGCGAAGACTTGCTGCAGCAATGGATATCCCCTGGCGCGACGCTGTATGTGAACCTCGGCCATGTTGAGAAGGGGTCCACGGGTCCAAGGGCACTTCATGGCAGTTTCATGTCCCAGGTTCGGTATGCACGAGGGAGATCCGAGGTATTCGTAGCAATGTGGTCGGTCATCTCCCGCGACTAAGGAACCCCATCTGCTCGCAACTGGACCAGATGCTCTTGAAATGCGAGGCGCTCACACCGTACAGAGTGGACCAGACTTGTACAGGAAGCAGCTGAAGGTTACAAGAAGGGACTCTCACGGTCGCCGTGCAGAACTATCACTTTGCATGAATGCGTGGAGCACAGCTTGCAGTACTTGAGTTTGTGAGATCAGCCGGACAGAAAGATGAAGTGGTGAAGGGCGGCACTGCGGTGCAGGCGGAATAAACCATCGTAGCAAGCTGCGCGCGAAGACGAAGAGGCTTGCATGCCAAACCCTCCCGTCACGTTGCCGACTCCACCGCTTATAACTTCTATACAAGCACAGGAGATCGAGTCCGTTCTGGCTCTGTTGGTGACGCATCGGGGCGTCTTCTTCGTTCACAACCTGGTCACTGCTGTTCAGGCGAGAGTGCGGCAGAGACAGTTTTGGTCACAATCCAGAATGGAAGACATAGACACGGTAATGTAGACATGGTGTATTAGATTCGCAGAATCTGTTGCCAATATGTCCGAGTACGAACGAGGTTCAGTTCGCTCGCGATTTGCTGAACATGAGGATGGTTGGGCGGATCACATTGACACTGGCCATTTCTCGTGGCATGTCCGCTGTACTTCGTTTATGATGCAAAACACCGCTTGAAACTCGTATTCCTCCTGTGTCAGGTGCTTGGATCTTTGGCTGAAGATGCCAAGGATGGGAAGTTCACGAAGCAAAAGCTTGTCCTAGTTCTGATCATGAGTGCTGTGTTGCGGGTCGAGTTGGACAGCAAGGGCAGCAGTCGAGTCGAGTCCCCTGTGAGAAACTTTTTGGAAAGTGAGATGTAAAGGCATGCCTGCTCTTCAGACGGATCCAAGGTCAGCGCCGTATCTCGCACATCCAAGAGCCAAATTTACACTAGAATTTCTTAGACCTGTACTGTAGTCTGTTTCTTCTTTTCTTACGTATTAATATTATCAGTCGCTCAGTCATAGCAGGAGTATCATGTTCGTGTTATGATTTTTTTGTATTACTTATTTGAACTTACAATTTACAACCGATGGAGGGTCGAAGTCCTTGATCGCGTTATGCCAACCTGGCAGTTCGGTGGGATGGTCTCAGTACCCGGACTTAACTCGGAACCCATCAATGCCTGAAGCTGCACATGGCGAGTTTTCATGGTCTGCCTTAAGAGTCTTCCGTCGCATCAACCACAAGAAGCGGCGGGCAGATATCTGACCTAAACTCCAGATGCTGAAGCCAGAGACGCTCAATGTATCATTCCCCTCTTACTCAATGAGCGAGTCCATCCCTCGCGTCGACCCATGCAACCCCAAGTCCTCTCTCATGATCCTTCACATCGAGGGGAGAATCTCTGACACGAGTGTTAAGCTTGACGACTCGCTCACCTGTATCAGGACCCTATGGCCGTGAACCGACTACTTAGGGATCCGAGGCCCGGGATGCGATTCCAAAGCGTGTTCCTTCTTCCTCGCGCTTAGAATCCGTATGCTCAGTTCGTCCTTGTTCCTTCAACCTTATAAAAACTCTCGCAGATACGATGTCCTGCTGCGTGATCTTTTCCGTTTCGTGCCGAAGCTCGACTTCCTGGCTATGACGAACGTGGCCTGTAGCCTCCAGCAGTTGGACCACAAGTGCGCCCGGCTTGCGATGTCTGCGCTTGATGCGGTGCTCATGTGAGTTCATGCTCCGCGTCTCTAAAGCTCGAGGAGCTTGTCATAGCCTGGAGATTGCTTAGACGATGGTGCAGAGTTCTGTCACACCAAAAACAATTACAAGCATAAACAACAGCGGTATTCATGCTTCAAGAAGTAGTGGCCCTGCGACTAGAATAGTTATTTTCTGGTTACTTCAGCACGGCAGCATCGACAATATCAGAAGCTTCTTGTAGTCAACCAAAGCCAGCGTGCCGGAGGGCTCAGCTGGTGTTTTACAGTCGCGTCCTAGCCCATCTGCTCCCAGAATGTGGCCATGCATCCGGACGGGGCAGCATCATGGGTCCTTGCATCCGCTCGCCTACACTCCTTCCAACCCCAAGAAGTTGGGGGGAATCCCCAGCCTCTCAGGTTCTGGACGTGCAAGCCTGGCAGGCCTTGCAGGCGCAGGCTCTCTGTGCCTGTCCAAGGGCAAAGCATCACAAAGATTGATGCAGAGATGGACGCAAATTGGGTGCCTCGCAGAAGACTCCCTAGTAGCCGTGGCTGAAGACGAATCAAAAGACGGTCGCGGGCGCCGGCTCGTGGCAGTGTGCCGCGTGTCAAGTGGCACCGAGATCCTCGAAGAGGGACCTGCTCTTGCGGTGTCGCGAGATGTTGCAATGGACGGTGTCTCCAGCAAGCTGCAAGACTTGAGTCCAGCTGTGCAGGAAAGTTTGTTGCAGCTTTGCCATTCCTCCAATCTTCCAGCGGATGAGCAGGCTAGCATCGTGGAGATCGCCGGTAGTGATAGTCGGCTGCTGGCTCTTCTTCGTGTGTTCCTGATAAACAGTATCTCAGGTTGGCCATTAATCTGTTTGATTGAGCTTTAGATGCATTTCTCTCTTCTGGCACACGAACAGAGCCGGTCAAAAGTTTGCGCCGCGGCAACATCCCAGGTATTGGGACTCCAAAGGGGGGCAGTGCGATCTACTTGCGGGCAAGCCGGGCAAATCACAGCTGCCAGCCAAATGCGGCCTTCCAGATCGACAAAGCGAATCAGCTCCACCTGGTTACTCGGTAGTAGGGTCGGCAACCTTTGACCCGTTTGGAGGATTCTAGTCATCTCTACTAGGTAGGCCTTTGGAATATTTTATATTTTCCCTTATTGGGCTTAAGAGGACCCTGTTTACTAATATTAGTTTCAGAGGCTTTAAATGGCCAACCAGTCTATATAGGAAGTTTGACAAGTAAGGTTACGCTGAGGCCCCTGGACTGCAACGAGGAGATCTTCGTGTCCTACTTGCCGGAAGCAACCCTGTTGAGGCAGGTTAGGTCCTCTTTACTCGTGGCAGCTGTCACCAAAAGCATCTGAAATTACGTAGGGAGCAGCCCAGCGCTTCTGGCCATTCGCATAGCTTCCAGAGGACCAACACCGATGACTTTGAGCTCAGGCACTCTTAGGGTTGAGTGCTGTTTAGCTACCCGGAGGCCACAAGGCGTCCGCCGCCGTCTCCTGGAGAAATGGGGGTTCACATGCAGCTGCAGCCGCTGTCAGAGCAAAGATGATGTGCGACTCTCCGATTCCCGTGAGAGGATTAGCTTAGACTCAGTTTCATCAGATTACCCAGCAGATTGAACGGGCCTGGGTATCGGGGAATTCAATGCTGGGGCACAACAGAAGATTGGCAGTTTTGCCTTGAAGTACCTAGAAACCACTTTGCCCCAACTCAATGCCGCACCGAAGCCCAGGAACTTTCCTTTGTGGTCATTGCGGGCATGGGGCGATACGCCCCACGACCTTGCACAAGGAGCGCTGAGACCCAAAGCCGCGACAAATCCGCAAAAATCCATCGCAGCTCTTGCGATGGCTAGGTCGTGATACATTTTCATTCAAGCCGAAGTACAACAGTGGGTTCAAAATGTAGGAGGAAGAAAGCTATACCAAGTTAGATACTCGTAGTAGTGCCGGAGGAGGATGACGTGCTTTGGTGCAGCTGTTCGGCATGCGGAGCCGAGCCACAACCGTCGCGGCAGCTCGCAGAGGCTGAGGAGCTTTGGCAGAGGCAACTGAAAAGGCCAGGGTGTATGACGAGTGCGATGCGTATGCCCGGGTCCCTTCCATGCTTCGCCCATGTGGGCCCGGCCCGATATCTACCCTAAACCCTAAACCCTTAACCCTAACCCCAAAGCCCTATCGTAACGGATCTAGCTACAGGCAGCACCGACATCAACTCTCAAGCCTCCGGAGCCTGACACAGGTTCCAACGTGAACCTTCTGGTCGAGGCATCCTCGAAAGCCTCAGGACCTTCACGGTCCTCTGTGACTTTGGTGGCCTTCGGGAGTTTGCCCTAAGTTTGAAAGGCTTTCAATGTTAAGCTGAAAGCTGATCCTTGGGATGGGTTCGCTCATGAGTGTCATGTCTTGGGCTGCAACTATATAGGGACAGAACATGATATTGTTAAAGCGTGGGGGGGAAATTTGCATTTGCGAACCGGTGAACCATGGTGATATGTGCATTCGCAGTGGGCCGCTCACTGTTTGATGATGCATGATGATGCTTTAGTTCCTTCTTGGGATTACCTCATAGGGTTCTAAATATAAACCATAAAAAAGGAACTACTTAGGGGCCTATGGGTAGTGACTGAGGGGGGGGGCACGTTGTCCAGTACCAGCAAGGAAACATTCAGCGCCACGAGAACCACTAGAGACTGGCGAAGCTCAATAGGGCTTCAAAGCCCCCACGGCCACGAGTATATTTGGAAGACCCGAAAGGGTGAAGGGTTTCACAATTAGCGTTTGGAGAGTTTTGATAATTGCGATCTGGGTGAAGGACTTTGCAGCAGCCTAGCAGCTCGAGACCGCTTCCAAGTTTGCAAGGCCCGGCTTGTTTGGCTATGTAACTTGGCTACGCTACGGCTGCTCACTGCACAACCTCTCTTCTGATTGAGTGTTCCTTCTTGCGGCTTGGGATTTCCCAGTTGCAATACAATATTTACAAAAAGTTTTTGGATTCAAGGCAGGTCGAAGAACACTTGCTGTCGCACTGATGACTCTGCTTTCTTGACTCACAAAAAAGCTGCATAACAGAGCACCCAATGGCTGCTTCTAGGGGCCTTGGGATGTACCCCAAAACCTCCTAGAGAGCCTAACTTAGAGCCAAGACCTCGATTTCAATAGGGGGGAGATGCATGGGTCCGGAGTGGAGTCTTATCGCGGTTTTTGTGATCCAATAGACTCGAGATTGAAACAAACGTGTCAACCAGTTTGTCAGTCAGGGATAGAGCACCGACCCAGGTGTAGAAAAGGCTTGTGGGTATGAAGCTGGGAGGTCCTGTTTCTTGCAACCCCGAAAGCTAAACCTGCCCAAACTGCTACATGGTGGCTTCAACAACCAGCACCTTCACCCACGACCACGACCACGACGAACCACTATGACGAACCACCACGACGACCACTACAACCACCACCACGACCACCACCACGAACGCCGCGACGAACACCACGACGACCAAAGCGACGACCACCAAGACCACGGCCAAGCTGCCGCCGGCACCGCCGCCGGCGACGGCGGCGACCACGACTGTGACCGTGATTTTGACCACGACCACCACGACGACGACGACGTCGACGCTTGCGGCTGAGATGATACATGCCCCGAAAACCTTGAGTACCTGTGCTTCAATATTTCGCACTTTCAGAATTATCTGAAACAAACTAGCAGCTAAACCACAAGAAACATGATAGTGCCAGTGCCTCCCGCCTGAAGACCAGTCGATTTGTCTTTTCCAGGGAAGGCCAAACAAGCAGCAACGCCATGTTACCGACGCCATTTTGCAATCCTTTCGACTCCGTCACAAGCCGTTTTCAGGTGCATTTACATTGACGAGAGATGCAGTTACTGAAGACTTGCTTGGGCACCCCCAACATTGGCCCAGCACAATACAGCCCTCTTGGCCATAGATTTATCCGAAGTCAGGGTCTTCATCATGTCGCGTACACTTGAGGTAAGCCTCATAAGTGGCAGGACTGTGTCGTTGCAGACACACGGGGACGAAACCCTGGAATCGCTGAGGGAGCGTGCGCAGAAAGCCCTGGGAGTTTGCAAAGGTCGACTCTTCAACTCCACTGGAAGTGTGCTTGATGGAGGAGGGCCGCTAAAGAAGTCCAGGCTGAAATATGACGAGCCGCTAACGTTGCAGATTCGGAGGGTCGATATATGTGGCGGAAAGCAGGCTTTTTCTGCGATCTTGGGAGATGGCTCCGTTGTGACATGGGGTTGTTCCGACTTCGGTGGTGACAGCAGTGCCGTCCGAGGTCATTTAAAAAACGTGCGCAACATTCAGACAAACCACCTCGCTTGTGCTGCGATTCTTGAAAATGGCTCCGTCGTGACCTGGGGCTGGGCCGCCAACGGTGGTGACAGCGGTGCCGTGCGAGCTGGTGACAGCAGTGCAGTGCAAATCAGCTGAAAAATGTTCAGCAGATTCAAGCAACTAGGAGTGCCTTTGCTGCGATCCTGGGAGATGGCTCCGTCGTGACCTGGGGCAATGCTAGCTGCGGCGGTAACAGCAGTGCTGTGCGAGATCAGCTGAAAGATGTGCAGCAGATTCAAGCATCTGATGTGGCCTTTGCTGCGATCTTGGGGGATGGCTCTGTTGTGACATGGGGTCATGCCGACTGCGGTGGTGACAGTAGACGCCAACGAGGCCAGCTGAACAATGTGCAGCAGATTCAAGCAACTGCGGGTGCCTTTGCTGCGATCCTGGCAGATGGCTCCGTCGTGACCTGGGGCGATGCTGGCTTCGGTGGTGACAGCAGTGCTGTGCAAGATCAGCTGAAAAATGTTCAGCAGATTCAGGCAACTAAGAGTGCCTTTGCTGCGATCGTGGCAGATGGCTCCGTCGTGACCTGGGGCAATGCTGGCTACGGTGGTGACAGCAGTGCTGTGCGAGATCAGCTGAAAGATGTGCGGCAGATTCAAGCAACTGATGTGGCCTTTGCTGCGATTCTCGGGGATGGCTCCGTCGTGACCTGGGGCTCGTCTATGGCAGGTGGTGACAGCGTACACCTGCGAGATGATCTGAGAAGCAGCTTCGAGCGGCGAAAACAGTTCCATGCATGTTCTCGCACTTCTGCATTCGTGGGGTTTTCATTGTCTTCCCGAGCGTGCCCGGGTGGCCGATGGACGCGCTATTCAAGACCATCCGACACTTTTCCAGAGGCTGTCAGGCCCATGTACAACAATAATAACATTTTGCACACCATTAACCCGAAAAAGTTAAGCCCCTAAACCCCAAGCCCAAAAACTTAGGACGCAAGATCGTGCAACAGTGCTGGAAGATGTCGGTTAAACCCTCTAAGCCCGATGTCGAAGCAACTTCAAGAGTCTACCTGCTCCAGGTGTCAAGCAGTAGCTACCCCAAGCTCCAAGCCTTCTCCTCCACATCCGAAATAGCATTTTCTGACTTGTCCCGAGCGCTTCCAAGTTAAACACCGGCTGTCGAACCATCCTTACCTGACGAAGGACACTGGGTTGCTGCTGCAATTGCGGATCTTGCGTCCCAGGAGTTGTTTTCTGGGAATTGGGCTTTGCTGCTTCAGGTTTATGGCCGGGTTCTCAGCAGGTTGCGAGGAGGAGTTCAGTGGTGCTTGAGTCTTGCGGGCTCCGATATTTCGACAATCTTGTTTGACAGTATTTCCTTTCAGCACAAGCTTTCGAATACAGCATGAGGAGTTAGCTGAACGAGCAAACACTCTTAAGGCTGGCTTCTTCAACCGGGGCATCTAGCTCCATGCTCGCTGTCAGCATTGTTGGTTTTACTCCATGGGGATTTCGTCCCCAAACGCAAAGCCCTGAGTCTTCGACAAGGAATAAAGAAACCAGGAGGATCCAGAACAGGAGCCCTGCCTGTAGTTGAGTAGGCCCCCTGAGTTATTAACCCCCCCTTTCCTTTAAAGGCCTACAAAAATTAGGAGTTGCTAGGAGACCAATCTTAATTCCGGGGAGAGGGGTCTATTATTGCGGGCTCTACAGGGCATCTTACGAAAATAAGATACTCCAACATAAGCCCTGCAAGCGGAGGATCCTGACACAAAGGACACCAGCCCCGAAAGAGATCCCACAGTTGAAGCACCCTAAACTTTACCTAAACCCTCACTACCACAAACCCTGAAGCCGCGAACCCTAAAACCCTAAACATGCCTCGCCTGAATTGTCCGAGTTGTGAGCGCGGAGGCCCGACTTTCTCAACTTCTCAACCCTAAACTCCTAAACTTAAGAGCCCGAAACCCTTAACCCCATAAATAAACCCAAAGCGCTGATGGGGAGGTTCTTCCAAGCCAGGGCCTCCACCCCAAAACCGCCCC